GAGACACGCCCTCCAATCCCTCGAACTTGGCCAAATCTTGCTTCAAAAACTCGGCTACCCACGGCGGGAGGGGTGGTTCGGTGATGGGGGCTGTAGGTGGCGAGATTTCTTCGAGCAGGGCACATGTTATGATGGCGAGGTTCCCGGTGATAGGGTCAGTCGAGTCTGATCTTCGAAAAGGGTTGCGTTGTCGACCGGCCGCGGCATCGGCTAAAGGGGTGAGTTGATAATCCGTTGGGGGGATAGATGCGATTTGGTCTACCTTGACCCGCTCCTGTCCTTCGGGGCCGTGGTCTTGCAGGCGTAGCGGGTCGTGGTGTAGAACGATGCTGGTTTCCCGTGGGGTCGTTCGCTCTGATTGAGCCGCACTGCTGGGCATTTCTGATTTGGCTCGCGTTGATCGTGTTGTATTCTTAGCGCCGCCGGGTCCGTCTCGGTCGGGGCTTAGATGCGTTGTCCTTGTATTGCTGCTGGGTCTGGCATGGTCGAAGCTTCGATGCGTTTCGGGGCTTAGAAGCGTTTTCCTGATATTGCTGCTGTGACTGGCGTGGTCGAAACTTAGAAACGTTGTCCTGATGTTACTGCTGGTTCTGGCGTGGTCGTGGCTTAGCTCCGTTGTCTTGGTAGGGATACTCTGGGTGGTTTTCGAGGCAAACGGACTGGCCCTGGGTGCGTCCAGCGGTGTCGCAGTCGTCTCCGTCGTGGCTTCGTTACTCTGGGCGTTCTTCGGGGCGGATGGACTGGCCCTGGGTGTGTCCAGCGGTGTCGCAGTCGTCTCCGGCGTAGCTTCGTTGATGATTCTGGCGTGGTCGTATCGAATCGTGGGTTGGGTTCGGGTGGCGTTGCTGAGTCTGGCGCGTTCAAGATCCTGATGCGTTGTCGTGGGTCTATTGCTGGGTCCCGCGTGGTCGAGATTCCGGTGCGTTGTCACTGGTACATTGCTGGGTCTGACGTGGTCGAGGTTCGGGTGCGTCGGCTTCGTCCGGGTCGCTGTTGGATTGGTCGAGCGGGTAGGAGCAGCGGATGCAGTCGCGGGACTTTCGTCACTAAAAGTAACCATGCGGGGCCGATTCGAGGATGATGTGGGGATCGGGTTGGTTTCCCGGATCGTCCGCTGGGTCAACTGCAAGTACGCTCATCCGCATTGTATTATGGCCTGGACGCCGCAAAGGAAATCGAGCCCCAGTATGATGTCGTCCACTACCATGGGTAGGACTAATAGAATCACCCGCGTTTCCTGTTGATCCAGACGTACCTTGACCGAAACTGCTTGCGTCACCTCCTTTGCTGTACCATCCGCCAGGCGGACGGTAGTCCTTATGTTCCGTGCGTTCCCTCCGGTACTTACTTCATGAGCGGTGCGTTGACTGACGAACGACCGCGTTGCTCCCGTGTCAAGGGTAGCTGTGAGCGGTACTCCTTCGATGGCTACTAGCGCGGCGATCCTGCCTCCTTCCAAACTTAAGGGATGAGTTACTCCTGGGGGCCCTGGAGGTATGTCTCCGATCGGTTCCCTGACGAGCGGAGACTCGGCCCGTTTCCCGACTCGGATAGCCTACAGCAGTCGATCGTCCGGATGCCGCGGCGGCCACACTCCCAACAGAATAGCACTCGCCGATTCCTGCATGAACTGCTGAAATGACCTTCCTCCCCGCAATTCCGGCAGGCCCGGCGTGTGTTCACCGGCCGGTCTCCATCCTGGGTCACTACGCGGCTTGCCGTCTCGGCGCTCCGGGAGGGCCCGGTGTCGTCTGGAGGGGCATGCTGTGGGGTGGATAATCCGGGTCCTTGGTATGATGGCGTTCTGGCTTTCGTATTTGGGCGGTCGTTAGCTGGGTGGGTTTGTTCGCGGTCCCGCGTTGTCTCGTACGCTACTATCAATTGGGTCAGTTCTCGCAACGTCTCGAACTCATGTCTACGGGTGAACAGTTTGTATTCCGGCCGAAGGTTCTCGTAGATCCTGTCCAGCTCCCTGTCTAGAGTATACTGAGCTCGTTGCATCATGAGTCGGAGGTCGATCACGTAGTCCTGAAAGGCTTCTCGAGGTCGTTCGTGACGGGAGCGGATCGTATCTTGCAAGCGCTGAAAGTATCGCGGGGGTAGGAAGAACTCCAAGAACTCCTTCCGGAACTCGGTCCATGGCTTGCCTTGCATCTGGAACGTCCTAAACCATAATTCTGCCTTGCCAGTTAGTAGCCCGGAGATGGCTCGCGGCAGTTGTGCTGGGCTTCCGCCATATCAGTCGACCCTTTCTTCCAACCGTTCGATGAAAGCCAGCGCATCCGAGTGTACGTCGAACTTCAGACCCCAGTTTATCGGCCAGGGCGGCGAAGGAAATTTCTTCCCTTCCGGGTCGCGAAGTTCCGGCTTCCTCGGGGAAGCGGTGCTGGGGGTGATTGTCACCATGTCGTCGGTCAGTCGTGGTTTCAAGCCGGCCAGAGTCGCCGTGAGCTGCACGCGGGAACTCGGGAATTATGATAGATAGAGGCTGCTCCGCACAGATCCCTTCCTTCCGCTCTCGCTGACTCGGTCCCGGCGACGGGGACGTGTTCCTCGGGCTTCTCGGGCTGGGCGCGCTGTCGAAGACCATTCCGAGCTCTTTGATCCGTTTTTCGATCGCAGTCGGATGCTCACCGCGCGAAATAAAGGCCGAGATCTGGCTGCGCAGCTCGTCCGCTGTCTTGTTTTCACCGAGGCCGAATTCGGCGGCGATGGCCTGCAATTCGTCCTTGCGCCGATACGAAATCGACTGTACCCCCATGTCGAAGCACGGTGGTCGAACTGGCACTTCGAGGTCTCTCGCGTTTCCGACGGTAGTATCATGTATTGACCCTCCGGTAGAATCTTTTCTTAGGTAACGCACTGAATACCGGAGTCCTTGGGGCTAGTCACGGAAGCGCGGCGTATGCACGGTTAACACGGTTGTCCAGTGGAGGCGTCCTTGCTGCTTGGGGTCCTGGTCGATAGTCCTTGCTATCGTTGTCCTTGGAATTGTCCTGACTGTTGATCCTTGCTAGTCCGGCCGATAGTCCTTGCTATCGTTGTCCTGGGAATTGTCCTTGTGGTCCTGGTCGTGCTGGGTTCGTTGATTTAAGCGTTGGATCTCGTCCCGTGTTGATGGCTGAACGCTGACTGATCACTTTGAAGGCCGGGCGTTTACTCTCGGCTATCGTTTTGTAGGCCTGGCTTTGAATGATCACGCTGAAGACCGTGCATTGAATGACTGCTCTGAAGACCGGGCGGTGACTGCTCGCGCTGAGGGCCGGGCATTGACTATCGGCTATCGTTTGGTAGGCCGGGCTTTGAATGATCACGCTGAAGACCGGGCATTGAATGACTGCTATCGTTTTGAAGGCTGGGCATTGACTGACTGCTTCTGGCTCTGAGTCCAAAATATATAGCCGGGACGGTCGGTCTTCGGGAGGTTTCCGGAGCTCGCTCGGCTTCTGCAGCTCACGACTCGCTGCTCGCCGCGTGTCGCTCTCTTTTTGCAGCGATTTCTGCCCAGCTTCGGCTCGGTTCTCTTTCTCGGCCGTCTCGCTGCGGTGTTCTCCTCCTCGTGTGGGCGCGGCGGCCACGTGTTGACGCTAAGGCTAGGGAGGTTAGGGAAGCCAGCCTCGGATGTACGTGAATAATGGGCGGCCGCACGTGCGGTTTTACAGACACAGCTATTCCTTTGCCTTAATGATGTTGACCGGCCGCGCTTGCGCGTGGTACAGTCCCGACGCCCTCAACTATTCGCTTTTCTGACCAACTGTTCCCATTAGCACCGCAAAACATAACGGAATCCCGGAGTCCCTGCTCGGGAAATACCGACAAGTATCGCCGAGAGTACCTAGGCTATCGCCGGACGGTACTTACAGGACCCTGTCGGCCTAAGAATTACTACGACGCGGAAGGGGGACTTTGCTATGCGGAAATACCGGCAAGTATCACCGAGAGTGCCTAGGCTATCGCCGAACGGCACTTACGGGACCCTGTCGGCCTAAGAATTACTACGAGGATATCGACGAGCATCACCGATAGTGCCTAGGCAATCGCCGGATAGCACTTACGGGACACTGTCGAACTAAGAATTACCACGGGGGTCGGGGATATCGACAGGCATCGCCGAGAATGCCTAGGCAATCGCCGGATAGCACTTACGGGACGCTGTCGAACTAAGAATTACTACGAGGGTCGGGGATACCGGCAAGCATCGCCGAGAGTGCCTAGGCAATCGCCGGATAGCACTTACGGGACACCGCCGAACTAAGAATTACTACGAGTACGAGAATACCGACGCGTATCGCCGCTGTTATATTACATTTCACTTTATTCTTTCTTGGTTCCCTACCTATCGCACCGCTCAGCAGCCCGTATACACGTCTAGAGACTCGCTTACCCCTGAACTCCCACGCTTGTATTCGTCGAAAGCCTCCTCTTCCCCGTGGGTGCAGCGTAGATGCAGGATCTCCTCTCCGTAAGTGTAGTATCGATGCAGGGTCTTCTCCCCGTAAGCACAGCGTCGATGCAGGATCTTCCCCCGCGTTGGCGTGGATCTGGTCCGCCACGTGTTTTACTTTTCGTACGCCACTCGAATTTTATCCGCAAACACGGCCGACTCCTACGACTGCTTCAAAACGAATCTCTTAATCCCCGTTTTTCTTCTCCAGCCTCAGAACTCTCTTGATCCAGTGCCAGCGTGGGCGGCCAGCGTCGTCATTCTCGCGGCGGCAGAGGGCTGGCGTCGTCGTTCGGCGTCTACGCTGCGCCGGTGACTTTTGTCTCTCTTTCTCGCTGCTGGCGCGTCGTTACTTCGCTTTAGTTTTCCGCGTTTTTCTTCTGCCGTTGCTGCTGTGAGCTTTTGCTGTTGAACCACAGCCAAAATAATTAAAAAGTCTTCATTACCCTTCATTTTAAGAAAGGGCACGATCCCGTTAACGCATGATGAACTTTTAGCGTGCCTTCTCTTCGGGGGTCATCCACTTCCCCATTTTGGCCATAAAGTGTGTCTCCAGCTTGCCGTTTCCAAGGAGGAGCTGCGGCTGAAGATGATACAGCGGGAGAGGGATCGCGAGAGGAAGCGTATCAAGCGCATGAATCGCGAGTACCGGCGGCTGGAGCAGGAGCGCGATCGGGACAGAAAGAAGGCGCGGAGGGCGAACGAGGCCTTCCGGCAGCTCGAGAAGCTGCGTGACAAGATACGCAAGGACCGCAAGAAGGGATACCTGGTGACCGATCCCTCACAGCTCCCGCCCGAATTCGCGGCCATACTACAGCCAGTGCCTGTTGTCAAGCCCGATGTTGGTCTACCGCCAACCTCCCAGGGCCAGCAACAACAACAACAGCAGCCGCGGTCGTTCGCGTACCCCGCCTTGCCCATCACCAGCGTCACGCTGATGCCGCAGCTTTGCCACCCCATTCTCCACCAGAACCTGAGTGCCACGCTGTACGCGGGCCCGAACGGCATCAAGCAGGAGTACGGCCAAGATGTGTCCGCCTCGGCCATGGCCGCTGCCCAGGCGGCTGCTCTGGCAGCGCTACGGGGCCAGCAGCACACGCAGGACGATCAGGATATGGCCCTCAACCTGGAGCCGGAGATCATACTGCAGACAGCGCCCGATGTGAATCCCGCCCAGCCACAGCAGCACCACCTCACTGACCACCAGCAGCAGCAACAGCAGCAGCAGCAGCACTGCAACATATTTCAGCACATGGCACCGCAGGCCCATATGCAGCACATGCGATCGGCGGCGCTACCTCCGCCGCCACCCTCTGTGGCACTGCTGCCACCGCCACCACCAGCCACACATCAGCAGGTGTGCCTGTAACAAATGCTCTTGCAGGAGCATCGCAAACAACAGCTCGAATGGTGAGGCCATTTGCCTTTAAATCGGACAACTCATTTGTGAACTTTGACAAAAACTCTTCAGAATTAAATGGCTTATTGTGACCCGCAAAAATACCTTTGGGGAAGACCGGAAATTTGCTTAATTTGTTTACTCTAATAAAAATAGACCCCAATTGTGCACGAGAACTTTTAAATAATGGAAGCCCGTCAACATTAACATTAATACTTAATATATCGGGAAGATTCTGAATCCCCGATAATTTGTTTAATTGCTTAGATTAACCAATATGCAAATAAGAGCCGCCTCCTATTTGCATTATTTCAGGCTTTTCATTGCAATTAAATCTATAAAAAGGCCTAACGTTCAAATGTTCTTCATTTAAAATCTTAATCAAATCTGAGAGGCAACTACGCTTCGGTTTGTTCTTCCCAAACCACTTTTTATACCCGATACTCAAAATGAGTATTATTCTCGTATTATTATTATAGCCAGCATCAAGAAAACAATTTCATTTTATCTCGCCCTGTCTCTCTCTAACACACACGTAGCATAGGCGGCTTTGCTTAGAGTAAAACATTAGCGCCTAGATCTCAGAGACTATAAAAGCTAGAGCAACCAAATTTGGTATCCACACTCCTAATATATCGGACCGAGACCAGTTTGTTTCAAAATTTCGCCACACCCCCTTCCGCCCCAGCAAAGGATGCAAATCTGGGGATATTCACAAATCTCTGAGACTATTATGGCTAGAGTAACCAAATTTAGTATCCGCACTCCTGTTAGATCTCACTATAAAACGTATATCTCAAAATTTCGCCCCACCCCCTTCCGCCCCCACAAAGGGCGTTGCATCCACAATATTGAGGATACGAGAAAACTAAAAACGCAAAATCATAGATAATGACCATATCTATCAGATAGCTGAATCTGGATCAGATCAGATCATTTTTATAGCCAAAAGGAACAAATCAATTTGCACTGGCTACGCAGCGCCCGACGTCACGCTCAGACTGATTTTCTGTCTCTCTCGCACGCACTCTTTGTCGTGTCGTTTAATATTAGCGGCGTCTGCCGGAGGAGAGCCATACTGACTTAGTATCGGGTATAACTGTAGAGTTGCAGTGTCCGCAGCAACTCACAACGTTCCCCCTCGTTTTGTGTGCCAACAAGCTACCAGCAACGCGATGGCTAACGAAGCATGCAAAGAGAGAGGCGTGAGAGAGATAGAAATATTCCAAACGGTTCTGCGTCGGATGCGGCGGCGCACGACCTCTGCCGAGCCTGTCGTCCAGCGGGCAGAAAGATGGCAAAGCAAACGACAAAAGTTACAACAACACAACAATTGTTAGAGAATGTGAAGTCCCTAATTTTGCCTCTGCGCTGCTACCAGACAGAACAGCAACCAAACGAGCGCATGTATTTCTATCGCTCGCTCCTCCCCTCGCACGAACCCGAACGTTTTCTTTCTCGCTTATATTTATGTATGTACGTCATACGTACATATACAGTTATGTAGCAGCGCCAGCACACCGAGAGCTTGTGTACAGTGCAGCCATTTGAGCATATTTTAAGACATAGCTAGAAATGGCTTATAAAATTTTCAAAATGCTTTTACAAGCAATTTAGTATTTTATTTAAATACATTCAGCTTTTATTTTAGCCTTAGATGTATATTTCTTCTCGTCTGGATTTTATTTTTGCATACAAATTATTGGATCTATTCTGTTGGGCTATTCTTAATATCTGCACATATCTGTTAATTTATCGCTAAAATAACCAAAATCAAAAAAACCACAGCATTTTTTATTCCAGGGGTCTTTGTCTAATTTTAAGTGTATTTATTTTCAGTTTTAGCCATTTTTGCGATTTATTTTTGAATCTAGCTCTGAATTTCTGGCAGCACTGCTCGTGTAGAGCAGTTCTGCTTCCATGATTGTGTGTGTTTGCACTGCGCAGTGACAAAAAGGTATAAATACCGCAGTCCTAGAGGAACTGAGCCCTTGTTAATTTTTTCCTTCGTGGCAAGCACATCGTGAACTTGGACGTATATATATTTTTTTGTTTCTGATCTTAAGTAAACGAAATATAGGAATGTAAATATACGTGTCGGAATTAAACGGAGCATTGTAAAGAACAAACTTTTGCGGCGTTTTTCTTTATAATTTCTTCACTAATCGTGCAGCATCAGGGTGATCCAGTGGTGCGGTGGTTGCGTGGGTTGCGGGGGTTTCCGTGCAGTTGGATGGGAACTTGAACAATTCTACTGCGGAATGCGCAGCTTTTTCTGCTTCTACGGCTTAAAAATAGAAGCCTAATCAAACAAAAGTTAGGTTTCTTTTTTTGGGTAAAACTGAAATCTTTCTTGTATTTTTAAGCGCCACAGTAAATGATACGTGCCGTGAATTCGGAGGATTTGTCTTGTGATGGACCTATTTCAGGCTGAGGTAAGCTCAGTCCCGTCCAGGGGTCAATCCACAAGAAATTTTTAGAAATTGGATGGAACCGTAAGGGCGGCGTCGGGGGCGGCCTATCGTAGAGGGGCGGATCGGGCTAGAATGGGCGACGCTCGTCGTGCATACGAAACGGCTGCGTGGACTCAGGGCTGGGTGGCGTCGGTGCGTCGACTAATTGGAGTGAACTTACGCAATCGGGTGTTTTTACTTCGATAATTTGACACTTTATTGTACTTATTAGTGGTTTAAATGAACTTATTTTACTTCGTCGCCGCTGTCTTCTCGTGAGTTCCGGCTACCGCGTCTGTACTCCGGACCGGGTCTCTGCGTAAGTTTTCCTTTGGTTCTCGTCGCCGTCTTTGTATAGGCCCGTATTGCTGGGTCTGCGGGTTTGACAAATGCACTTCCGCGTCGGGGTGCACTTTGCCGTTCTTGGTGATCGTCGCAGATTTTCGCGGCGTCGACTTTCCTCCGTCGATGAACCCGGAAGACCGCACTCGGCCGATGGCTTGGCCTGGAGTGGGGAAAGTTCGCGTGACCTGATGTCTTTGGTCATCGTTATGGAGTTGGCGCGTGTTGGTTGCTTGCGGAGAGGGGGCGTCGGTTGCGGGGTGTGGTGCGATGCTCTCATTATAAGTCGGGGGACGGATTGTATCGAAACCTTTTAGTTTCGTTACACCCTCCCCTTTCTTCCCCGACGAGAGTTACGAAGACTCGTGCGGCGGTGGATCCTGTACCTTTGCTCGAACCACCAACTATCGAACAGGGTCCGAACCCGCGGCTCTAGTCGCCACAGTACCTCCTGGATTAGAGACGTTGGCAGGATTCGGTAGGCGGTGTTCGTTGTCCACTCTGGCGGAGCCACCGTCCAACGGGCGGCGTACTCGGCAGCAGATAGCTCGTACACCTCAGGCGTCGGGGTGCGTTGTGTTGATGTCATCAATTTCCATGGGTTCGTCGGCTTTGGGGTCCTCGTTCGGGGTAGTGGTCCCATGGCGACTGGTGTCTTCATCGGGACTGTCCTCTTCGTCGGTGTTGATGGGCCCGCGGAGGTCGGGGGTCGCGTCGCGGGGCCTAGAGTAGTCGCTGAATCTATCGCCCATGGGGGAAGAGGTCGAAGTCCGCGTGCCGCGTGGTGGGGTGCCTCTCAGTGCTCGCTGGTACGAGGGCAGCTCCGACGGTCGTCCTTGCAAGGTGATGCTGCCCGGCGGGCAGTGACGGGAGTATGGCGGCGGGGGGTCGTACCTCCGGGTCTCGAGGGTCTCCTCCTCCGAGTCCGTGGGGTACTCTTCTCCGTCGTCCGTGCTGTTGCCGGACGACGTTCCGCTCTCCGTGTCCGGGTCGACATCGGACCCCTCCGAGTCGGTGTCCCCCGTGAGGTCGACGATTTCGTTCGTTCCGACGTGGTCTTCAGGTGCGGCGTTCATGGCGTTGGCTGATTTCTTCTGTTGGCTTTAGAATCGGAGGTGGCGCTATTTAACGAGGGTTTACGCTGATGTTGCGGAGATGGCTTTTGTCGCTTCGGCAGTGTTGTTTTTTTCCCTTTCAGCGTTGAATTTTTCGAAAAGGCGCGAAGGGTTTCATAGAAGGTTTCCGTCTGTGGCTGCTCCTGATAATTTTGCCTTAACATTTGTGGTTAAATTAAAATGTTCTTTTACGTAATGTAGAAATATTAATTCTAATTCTTTGATTTTATGTTTAAATTCTTCCGACGGTTTTATTAGTCCGCCATGCGATACCTCATCCACGTAGGTAAATGTCGATCTTTTTGAAAACTCATAAGAAAGTCCCAACTTTTTAATAACATAACCTGCTAGGTATTCGATGGCATCCTCCGTCAACTCATCCATCTGGTTATCTGTAGGTATGTTGTTGGCGATTTCGAATTCAAAATTTTCAGGCTCATTTTCTTTATTTTCCGTACTTTGAGAATTAAGATCTAAGTTTAACCAACTATCAGAATTGTCATTTTCAACATTTCCATTATTTGATAAATCGGAGGATTTGTCTGCTGGATGAAGCCAAGTCGAGATGGGCCACATGCGTTCACTCGGCACCCAAATTAATACCTCCTGGTATCTCTGTTGTTGTTGCTGGAATCTCTGAGGTTCTTCCTCCCTGAATACCTGCATCATAGATCTTTGTGGTTCTTCCACCGCTTCCTGTGGCTGTTTGCTTGAGGACGTAAATCATACGATTATAAATCAAAATAGAGCCGCGGCTCTTGCCGTTGCTTTGTAAGCACTTTGTACTGGGCATGTGGTAATGCAAGGTGGTTTGTGAATTAGTGTATCTCGCTCTCATCGCTCTTTTGATCCCCTCAGAGCGAGTCTCTCATTACTGACAAGCCCAGAAATGAGACAGACTGACGACAAGAAGAACCGTCCCTCAAGAAAGGAGATGAGACACATTAAAAAAGGAAGCCAACAGAAGCTAATACTCTGAGAATTGTAACGGTTGCGGTTGCGGTTGCACAGTCCAGATCCAGGGAAGGTTATTGCTATGGTGCTCGGGCATATCGCATGCAATAACCGTGGGCCAATGAGCGATGCCGGTCATGGCATAATTGGGGTGGGTGCATGCAAGCTCGATTTAGGGAACAGCTGAGCTAAGCTGTGCCGCGCTTCGCAACGGATCTTTCGAAGCGGAGGGTTCAGATCTGTTAACTCTTAAATCGGCGCTGAAATCGGAGCTAAAAGCTCAGCTGAAATCGGAGCTGAAAGCTCAGCTGAAATCGGAGCTGAAAGCTCAGCTGATCTGAGAGCTTTTTTCAGGCAGAATCAGCTTGCAGGTGCGTACATTGTCGGCTGATCTGATTGCTGAAAGCTGAAAGCCATAGCCTCTCTCTCTTTAAGCGTTCCCAAAATGTTGTCGCGCGTGCGTAAAACGTTACTGTGCGAAAATGTGCAAATGAAGAAACTATTAAATGAACGGAAAATACGCAGAGTGATTTGGGTGAAACTTTTCGGGATCGCCCGGTTCTTGGGGAACTTCACCATATGTATGAGCAGCTTCGAAGGTGCCCAATAAAATTTGTCGAATACGCAATAATGCAGGTTGAGACCTTTGACTATATTTTAAATAAAATTGATTCGCGAATTCAAAAGCAGCCAGCAAGTCCTGCAATATTCTGAATACCCTTGGGTGAAGGATATTTATATTTATCATTTATATATTATACAATTGGGGAAATGTTTGTCATCTCAGACTCTAATGAATGCAGAAACTATTCAGTCTCTGTGTAAAATGTATTTCAACGATATTTTGAAGGTAGTGGTCAGAGAGACTTACAGAGACAAAGAATTGGTATCGGGATCAGGATATATGTATATATACAAGCAACTACTCGAATGCATCGTCTTAAACATATCAATTTAAGAAAATGTATTCATTAATTAAGTTTTAAAACAGTTTAAAACAGTGTCATTATATAAAATTTACTAAATGGATATCCTCCAGTTGACAAGCAACATGTCTTTAAATCGCAGCAACATTGACATGACAATATTGCGACTGTTTTTTTGTTTTTCTTTAAACCTTGTTGTCGTCAAAATAAAATAAACGAGACTACTTAAAAGTATGTTATGGGCGGTTTTGGAGAGAGCCGATATGTATCAGGGCTGGAGAAGAAAAAGACAGCGGCATCTATTGTGGATCCTGGGAAGCAGTGGGAGAAAAGGAAACGGGACGAGCAAGAAAAAGAGGAGTTTTCGGTGGAAACTAGAGGAGGCCGCGTGCCACGTGCCCTGAAAGAAAAAATTGGTGATCGTGGAGACGAAGATCCCACCAAGACATCAGCGGAAGCGGCGGAAAGCAGCAGCAGCCCGGTACTGGCCAGGCCGGAAACCTGGTGCGAGAACCGTCAGCGGAGCACCGGCACCAAGGAATCCAGCAGAGCACCGACTGGAGACACGTTTGTGTCCCCCCACACCGACACCACACACACAAAATTATCACAATAAACACGAGAAAAACAAACCACGATCAAACATAGACATCCGCGATATTAAGGAAGCAACAACTTTAAATGGGGCTGCCAATTCGGCCGAGATAGGGTTAATTTTTCTGTTAGTATATTTTTGTATTAGTATTTAGGCTATTAATTAATATTTTTAAAAAATAGATATATAAGAAAATATAACATGAATATAATATGAAAGTGAAACGTAGTCACGAGTGAGTAGAAAACAGTAGTTGGGTGGGACGAGAGCGAGAAGAAGGGCGGGACCCTGAATATGAAAAGGGAGCGCGCGAATTCAAAATGTGGCGCTCATGGAAGGGTGGAACCCTGCTAGGGATAACGAAACCAACTATCCCCGCTGACGAAAGTGCCAACGACGACAAGTCTGTTCTATAGGTTAGATTTGTTTTTTTTGTATGTTTTTGTTTTGTTCAATCCGTCCCCTGGCTTATCGGGTCGGAAACATTCCTGGCTACACTGTGAGCTAGCTGTAGCTGTAGCTTTTAGAAAACTTATTCATCAATGGGATAAAACTTTGTGGGCAGAGCTTAAAATCAATAGGAAGGGCAATAGGAACAGTTACTCACTTGCGTTTTTTTGTTCCACCTTGTTTGCTAATACCTTTTTTTAGGCAAAATCCAATAAAAACATGTATTTAAAGTAAACCAGTCAAATAGAAAATTGGTTCATTAATTGTATAAAATTATGTAAGCAGGGCTGAATGATCTATCTAGCTAGTAATATTCCACGGAATATGGTTTCCAATCCTTGACGGAGAAATATTAACCCATTGTAAGCCAAGGAGTCATTTTCATATTGTACCGAATATAATGAAAAGTTCATAATTTTAGCGCAGTTCAGGTGAAAGATATCGTGTTTTTTTATTAAGCTCAGAGGATATATGAAATGGATCTACAAGAAGAACTTACAATCGGTTATATTTGGTATCAATCGGTAGTTGATCTTTTGAAATAGAGGGGGTTATGTGGGTTAAGGAAAAAACAATCAATTAATATTTTTAAAAAATAGATATATAAGAAAATATAACATGAATATAATATGAAAGTGAAACGTAGTCACGAGTGAGTAGAAAACAGTAGTTGGGTGGGACGAGAGCGAGAAGAAGGGCGGGACCCTGAATATGAAAAGGGAGCGCGCGAATTCAAAATGTGGCGCTCATGGAAGGGTGGAACCCTGCTAGGGATAACGAAACCAACTATCCCCGCTGACGAAAGTGCCAACGACGACAAGTCTGTTCTATAGGTTAGATTTGTTTTTTTTGTATGTTTTTGTTTTGTTCAATCCGTCCCCTGGCTTATCGGGTCGGAAACATTCCTGGCTACACTGTGAGCTAGCTGTAGCTGTAGCTTTTAGAAAACTTATTCATCAATGGGATAAAACTTTGTGGGCAGAGCTTAAAATCAATAGGAAGGGCAATAGGAACAGTTACTCACTTGCGTTTTTTTGTTCCACCTTGTTTGCTAATACCTTTTTTTAGGCAAAATCCAATAAAAACATGTATTTAAAGTAAACCAGTCAAATAGAAAATTGGTTCATTAATTGTATAAAATTATGTAAGCAGGGCTGAATGATCTATCTAGCTAGTAATATTCCACGGAATATGGTTTCCAATCCTTGACGGAGAAATATTAACCCATTGTAAGCCAAGGAGTCATTTTCATATTGTACCGAATATAATGAAAAGTTCATAATTTTAGCGCAGTTCAGGTGAAAGATATCGTGTTTTTTTATTAAGCTCAGAGGATATATGAAATGGATCTACAAGAAGAACTTACAATCGGTTATATTTGGTATCAATCGGTAGTTGATCTTTTGAAATAGAGGGGGTTATGTGGGTTAAGGAAAAAACAATCAAAGAAATCGCCGTAACAGGAAAACAAGTCAAGTATTTAAAGCAAGCCAGTCAATAAAAAAATGTATGCAAATATCAAAAACGAGGAATATGTATAATAGAACTTGAATTCATCAGTACATTTACGCTATATTTAAAAAAGGGACGGTATAATTTGGTATATTTCTGAGGGTTGGACGGTATATTTTATCCATAAATACAACAAAAACTAAAACGACATTGGCGAAAATTTGACATTTCTGCAAAAACGAAATAAAATGCCTCGGTATATTTCGGTATATTTTATTGATAAATAAATTCGGAAAACGATCAAAAAATTTATAAATTCTTTAACCTTTTCTTTCTTTCTGTATATATACCATTTGTTTGAATTGGAAAATAAATATAAATAAGTGGAGAAATGCACAGCTGTTCAGCTAACAACAAAGTCAGAACGAAATACGAATGATTTTGTTGAAATTATGGAACACTGCGAAATCTGAAGAGAAGAGACGAAGCCGCGGTTCCGTTGGCGAGGGGCCGGCTCGGGTGCTTGGGGGTGCATTCACGAAATCTCCTCTTGCATAGGCAACATCAGGGCTTTCTGTGAAACCATTTCTCGCCAGGAATCTGATCTGAGTCCCATCCTGTGTTATTGTCCTTTGTGCGCTATGCCGATCAGGACAGTTCGGCTAACTCGTCATTGATGACTGGGCATTGATGACTATTTGGATGAGGCTCTGGTCGGCGACTATGGAAGCACACAGAATGAAGACAGCGACGACTTGGACGGGCACAACTCCTTCTAGCTACATAACGATGGGAGTAAGTTTTCTGTTTCCTCTTTTGTTCCACCTACTTATAATCCGTTTGCACAGAGCAAGGAAAACCCGGCCCCAACGAGTTTCCTTACTATTGTCGATCAGGAGATCATGGACCGCAAAGAACTATTCGACAGGCTCGAAAAAGAGCGCCCAAAGATAAGGCCAAAAAGGCTTATCCTCAGAAATTGTCAATTAATGCATATGAAAATCTCCTGAAGAAGAGAAATCCTTAATCCCAAAATAAAAACTGTTTTAATAATACAAATTTGTAGCATTTATTTTCTTGTTCATTCATCATTCCAACTTATTTCGTTTCTTTTCAATGTAAAAAGTTTAAGAAATTAAAAATCTTGTTATCGATTCATTTTTTTTCATTTGATAGAAATCAGCTGATTTTTTGTAGCTCTTATCGATAAAATATACCGAAAAAAATATACCAGATTGTAAGTCAAGAATTATATGGTATTATAAGAACTAGTTAGAACGAGACAGCATCCAACGAGTCGTTGATTTACTTTCTAGGGAATTAACTAAAAAAATCTTAGCCAAGTGAAACTCGATGGCCATTTTCCGCTAACCTATATAATAAACGAGCATTGCAAGGGCTCAGATGTGCATGTGCGCGTTTTTGTTTTATATTAAAGTAATTGCTTGATAAAACAACAGAGAATCTCATTACTACGCGAAAAAAACAACATAATAATCATTTAACATATAAAACAAAACACTACCGATACAGCGAAGTAAAAAATCAATAATTAGAGCTCGTTCAAAAGCCAGAAAGGTATGCAGTAGCAAACAAGAACAAAATAATCGGAACACAAAACACAGGAGTACCTATCTGTGTGTCTGTACACCCATCCGTACGTAAATTGTATTTGTGTGTGTGTGCAAATATATTAGGAATATATATGCAAATACAAGCCAAGCAAAAAGTAACAAACTCTCGGAGCTCCAAATAGTTCCTCATATTCTTTTTTTGTGAGTTGAGTGGAATAACTTGAAACCAAACAAATCAGACGGACAGAGTCGGTAATTGCACAAATGTACCCGGCACACACAAAACACAGAAAAGATGGAAGTGTGTGTGTGCGTGTATTCACACGCATACATCATTCTCCATACTTGCATGTATGGATTTATGTATGTAGATGTGTCTGCTTGTGTGCGTTTTATCCATACGGCGTCCCATTCTTCCATAAAATCAGTACCGTATATCGCGTAACTGGATGATGCCTTTTGTCACCAGAAGGAGTGGGGAGAGAGAAGAGCAGAGAGCAGCCACTACAGCGCCACTCGATTTGCCTCTTTGGTGCATTCAATTCATTCTTGGCCCTTGCGATTACGTATGTAGGTACCGTATAGTGTGGTGTGGTGAGGTGTGCGTGTGTGTGTTTTCTGCATGTTGGAAAACGCATGCGACGTAATCAAATGGCCACATTACGTCCAAAACGGCCAAACGCAAGGGAGAGGAAAAGGTTTCGTTTCTGCAGCGAGTGTAAATATTTTCTTTGCGGCTGCTGTTTCAGCATTTTGCAAAAAGTTTGTCGTCATTTTTCGTACTAATTATATATGTACACACATAGTTCTCTTATGTGGCGTATGTTCCATTGGCTATTGTGAGCATAATGTTTGGTCAGAAAATATTCATAGATGCCCATTGAATGTTTCGATTACATCCATACAAGAAATGCACTCACATATGTACATGTTTGATTGAAAAGTAGAATTATCTAATACGCAGAACACAAAAAAAAAATAAATAAAAAAATACAATAGAATGCGCTTTTGGCCGAGCGAGAGCGGTCGGACATGTCGAGCGGCTCGACACGGGGTCCGCATTGCGGTTCCGATTCTCTCAATGGGAATGGGTGTTGTATGAAAATCGATGCTTAAATGCAACGACAAAGCAGACAGTGGAAATGAATACATAGATTCGTGTGTACGATACAATAATTCATCGGAGGAAAAAAAACACCGAGTTTATACGTAGAGTCGTTTATATGGGATCGACATATTGCAGATATTTATTTATTGCAATTACTTGGGAGTTCTGATTTGGTAAATCATTAGTTATTATGTGTATGTGTGTATGTATTATGTTGATGTTTATAATCAGATTGGGACCCATATAAAGTATTATAATACAGTAACATACAAAACATTACATAATGTAATATACTGTTTTACTAACGTTTTGCTAACGTCTTTTATCGACCGAAAGTTTGGGATGGTGTTCCTAAATGTACCAAATATATATTAGAGATTCTTTTAAATTGTTTGCAGTTTATTAAATATTGATTTGGTGTTTCTACATTATTGTGTTAATGACCTGACCTGACCTGACCTGACTATTGGTGCATACATCGTCATATTTTTAAATTAAAATATACTACCCCGCGTACTCTCCTATTCGAGTATCGGGGTATATAATCACAATAAAAAAAATACAAGAGCACAACAACAACTTACACCAAAGATACTTACATTTCAAGTACCGTGAAATTCGAATACCCAAAAGTCATGTTAAAGAGCGCAAATAACAATTCTCTCCAGCATGTAAGTAGACAAAAGAAAAAAACGTCATTTAAAATTTATGATTTATTTATTTATCTATGTATCTATCTATCTATCAGTACCAGTTATTGTTATTGCTATGTGTATGTGTACTATATGTATTTGCTTGTGCATGATCTATAACTAGCTAAATACTGTATGTAGTTTGTTATTTGAATAAGTGGATGGCAAAAAATATGCACATTTATACATATGTGTACATTTCTGTGAATGTGTAGAAGGATATGAAACATTTTTGCACACATCATTTAATAAATAGATAATTTGTGATATTACATATTTTAATCGATCATCGCTTTCTTAATTTGTCATATATATTGTATATTTCCCTATAGGCCAATTGCCGGCCAAGATCTCATCAATACCCTGCACACATACTATAATATTTTTGAAAAGCCCCATTAGCCATTTGGCGGTTTCACCACGACGAAGGTGTCAAATAATTCACAATTCTTATGTTTTTATTTCTCACACTGAATGATCCGTATTACATTCACATTCACATTATTTTTAATGATAAATAATATTGAAAAAGGACACAGAAAAAAATAATCATCAAAATTATATATGTATAGGGGAGGTGAGCCGATTGTGGGCACGCTCTAGTTGGGGACCTCGTAAACTTGGACAGCCATCTGATTCCTGAGTATTGTGAACCGTGAACTGATAACGAAACAAATATATGTATGCATTTGTGATGAAGTATCTGTGGGCATAATTTGTTTTTCTCTTGGAAAAACTGCTGGTATTCCCGGTTGTGGGCGCCCTGGTTTTTCCTTTAAGAAACAGAGAAATATCACTGTTTTTATGCACTTTACGTGATTCAAGCTAACTCAACACCTGAAATATATCTTAATCGATGTGAAAAGCTCAGTGAAGGCTCTGAAAATAAATACATTTTCATTTTCATTTTTAGCGTTTTTTTTAAGGGTGCAAAAAACCATCCTTTCACTCAACTCTTGATAAAAACCAGGGGGAACGTTGTGAGTTGCTGCGGAGACCGCAAATCTACAGTTATACCCGAAACTAAGTCAGTATGGCTCTCCTCCGGCAGACGCCGCTAATATTAAACGACACGACAAAGAGTGCGAAATTCTGAGATATACGTTTTATAGTGAGATTTAACAGAAGTGCGGATATCAAATTTGGTTACTCTAGCCTTAATAGTCTCTGAGTTTTGTGGATGCCCCAGACTTTCGTCCTTGAGGGGGCGGAAGGGGGTGTGGCGAAATTTGGACACGAAACGGTCAAGGTCCGATATCACAGGAGTGTGTGGATACCAAATTTGGTTGCTCTGGCTCTTATAGGTTCTGAGATCCTTGAACTCATATTTTGCAATTGGCAAAACCGACCATGAAACCTGTTTGTTAGAGAGAGACAGAGCGAGAAAGAATGAAATTGTTTTCTTGATTCTGGCTATAATAATTACACGATCTGGTTCAGATTACATTCTAGAACATATAGTCACCCTCTACGATTCTGTGGTTTTGGTTTTATCGTATCTTTAAAAATGTGGATGCCACAGATTTTCGTCATTTGTGGGGTCAGAAGTGGGCGGGGCAAAGTTTCGAAATATTTTTGTAGCAGTGACATATCACAGAAGTCTGGATCCAATTCATCGTTGCTTTAGCTCTTATAGTCTTTGAGCACTAGGCGCTGAAGGGGACGGACGGACAGACATTGCTCAATCGACTCGGCTATTCCTTCTGGACGTTACACACATCCACTTTTACCACAAATCTAATATACCCCAATACTCATTTTGAGTATCGGGTATAAAAATCAATTTAGTTCCTTCACGGTCAGTTACCTAAGACCTCTAGCTTTTTATTCGTACACATATGTTTCTATAGTATGGACCTGGTCAAAAGGTATAGTTCAAAAACAACCCGGCTGCCCAGAACCGAGATACTTTCAATACAAAACTATGTTCATGTACAAACGATAGCAGGGTATTAAAAAAGTCGAAACACTTCCAAGAACAACAGTTGCAAGGCACAGCAAAAAGCTGTCGAGGGTACCATCTACCATCGCGAAATAATATAAAGCTATAGTCAAATGACGACTGCGAAATGTATATTCGATACTCAAAAACAGTACAGGGGTATATGTATTAGATTTGTGCGGAAAATTGATGTGTGTAAAGCCCAGAAGAAAGCGCTTCCGACCGGATAAAATATATATATTCAGGATGCTGTGATATCACTCAAACCGAAGGGATCATTATTATAGCCAGACGGAACAAATGAACTTTCCAAGCCGCTTACTCATTTCTGTCTCTCACTCACGCACTCTTCGTAAGTTTCGGGTATAAATGTAGAGTCGCGGCCGTAGCAGCGACTCTCAACGTTTTCGTAGCTCTAGCTCTTATAGTCTCTGAGAACTAGGCGTCAAACAGGGCGGAAAGACGGACAGACAGACCTGGCTCTATCGGCTCGGCTATTGATATACTTCATGGGGTCGGAAACGCTTCCTTCTGGGCGTTACTCTCATCAATTTTCCGCACAAATCTTGTATATCCTCTTTTGAACTCTTTTGAACAACTAAAGTAAAGTGTTCGATATCTATCGAACTTTATTATTTCTTATTATAATCTCTATAATTTAGCATATTTCTGAATAGATTGAAAAGAATCTCCAGATTGTCGGAAATCGTTCATCATATGTTGTCCTTCGCTTCTTTGGCATTCTTTTGCAACCTTTAGATGAAAATGCGATTATTTGCCTCGTTTGGCTGTTGTTTCAGTTTGTACGATTATAATTATTAGATTTTTATCATTCTGCAGTTGCACTTGCACTCACACGTCCCATCCGACAATTTAGACACTCGACGCGACGCACAGGTGCAGCTTGCATTGTTATATAAATATGCTGCTGCTGCTGCTGCGATGAATTTTAAATGGTATTTTTTTAGTGGGACCCTCAAGGCTTATGGCTTATGGCTTATGGCTTTCATTTCGTTTTGTTGTTTCAATTGTGCTTCACAAAACTCTAATAGTTTCATATTGGCGCTGCTGTTGTCCTCAAGTGCATTCTCAATGGTAGTATTTAAATTGTGCATGACCAATCCCAATCCTTTTTTAAATAGTTAAATAGTAAATAAGTATGTAGTATAGCTAAACGTTGCAAAGGTCGGGACATATTTTCTAAGCCAATTTGGGATATTCTTTCATCCACATAGGGATACATATGTATGTATATGTAAACGAGTTACTTGATATTCCCTATAATAAACATCACCAGAAGTAGGCCACACAGTTCCTCTGAATTCGCAACCGAAAATACATATAGTATTTGGCCAGATTTGAAAGTGTATTTCCAGTACTAATGGACGGTGTTAATATGTACATACATACAATATGTACGCACACATTTATTTATTTGCCAGCACTTTGCCCGTTGATTACTGCAAATTTTGATACGCAAATGCAACTCATGCATTTCGTGAGTTCTGGCCGCAGCTGCTGCTGCAATAACCGCTCCAACGGCATCCAAATTTTGCTGCTGCCTGGGCAGCGGCTGCGGCTGCGGCTGGGGCTGTGGTTGGGCCTGGGCCTCTTAGGGCCGTCCCGTTCCGTTCCGTTCCGTTCCTGGCGTTTGGGACTTCATTAAAAGAAATTCGAATCGAAATGTGTGCTGCGGGGCACTCTGCAAAGTTTTTATCAACACCAAAAGATCAGATTTTTCCGACAGGCGGGACTGTTCTTGTATCAGAGAGAGAGAGAGAGAGAAAGAGAAAGGGAAACAACGTTAAAGCAAGGTTAATTTTTATTCCAACGAATACTGCATACGCTTTTAAATGGGGCTGAAAATATTAGGCATGCTAGGATGCTAGGAATCGCTTATATCCCCAAGGCCACATGAATATTATCCGTAATATTATTATGTAATACTTTGAAGAATGACTCGAACGCCCCACAAGTTTATTGATTCCGCAACATACCAACTTTGAATGACTTGCAGAACCCCAAAACTACTATTCTCCTCTTTAGAGTATACGAATATCTATCTTCTCGGAAAATGAAAATCTAGCCAGCCGCGCAAATTATCTTTATTCGTACAAACCATGTGTCTAGGTGTGCATATATGTCTGCACATACATGATGGTATTTGTTCCTTTTTTTTTTTTTTTTTTTAATAATTTCTGTTGGTTCTATAAAATTAGCTGCAGTTTGCTTTTGTCGTTGTCAGTTAAATGTCAGTGCTTAGCTGGGCAACTCGGAAATCGTCAGTCGCTTAGTTGCTCTGCTTGTTTCCCGATCGCCTTTCATTTCGCTTCGAGTTTTGTTAGAGGTTTTCTACAATGTATCCAGCGTACTATAGGCCGGAGCGTGCCGCGTGCTATAAGTCGTGTCACCATGCCGTGCGTTGGGCCAGATCTTCCTCAGTACGGTACCAGCGGCAGCAGTTTTATTCATCATCTGCATCGTCATGTTTTGCTGGGAAAAGGTACTCGCGTGTACTCTTTAAGCGACGTACAGTGCTGCCAATGTTTCCCTACGGTGTAAGTAAAAGTTTTTTGATTGAAAGCAAAGGAAACGTACAGTCCTAAAAGGGGTCGTGTGGGGACACCCTTTTGATGGACACTTACATGCCAGACATGGGGTTAATAGGGTCGTTACGTCCATCCATCAAGAATCAAAGCAACAAAAATCAATCGTTTACAGGGGGGGCGGGGTCTCGAGGGGTCTCGAAGGGTCTCGAAGGGTCTCCAAGGCAATGGAATGATAGAAAATGTAAATTAATTGAGCCAACTCTTCAGATTCAGATTAACAATTTTTGTTGCGCTCCTGTATAACACATAACATATGTATATGTCGCTCTAACTCTGTTCTAACTGTCTATATATAATATTGATGTTGTTGTGCGTAATCATTTGACTAAACCATAAGTTTTGTGTGTGTGTATGTTTGTTACATTCCATTAATCCTTTAACCAAATAACCTTTAAGCCTTGTGTGTGCTCGGTCTGAAGAGCAGAAGTAAAAATTGCCCCAGAACCGCGTATTTTTGAGCAATTTTTACTTAAATCCTCCCGTAAATGGAATATCTGTTCGATTTATGGAATAGAATAAAAGCCCAGATGAGATGCAAATACAGAAAGGCACACAGATTCAAATTCACAAATTTGTCTGCCTTTAAAGGATATTTAAATTTTAATTGTTATACTTAAACGCTAGCAAATGCAAAGAAAATAAAACTCTATAAATGTAATGCCCTTTTGTATCCTACAGCCGGTGGCTAACACTTCCGAAAACACGATGAACGGCTATAACCGAAAGGTGCCGCCAAAACGGCGCTATGAAATGCCAAAATATGCTGGTAGGTCCCAGGTCAATCGATATATTCAATCTATAGTATTTATGTTGAATCCTTTTCTTGAACCGTTTTTCGATAGCACCGCCAAAAAAGAAAACATGCAAGGAGCGGATACCACAGCCGAAGAATACGGTGGCAATGCTAAATGAGTTAAGAAATGGACTGATTTATAAATTGGAGTCACAGACTGGTCCGGTGCACGCACCTTTATTTACGATATCCGTCGAGGTAAGATATACACATCCCTAAGAATGGGTCCGAATACTGGTCATGCCCCCAATAGCAGAAAAACGCCGTACAATATTGTTTTTTATATAGCCATTAGATACCGCCAGATATCGGATATAATATATGAAATTGGTGGGGAATATATTAGGCCAGAATTTAAAATATTTATTTGAAACATGAATCATATTTAAATTAAATGTTTTCATATTAATGCTACAAATTGCACGCTCTATTGGTATATCTGCCGATTCTCTGGGTGTACCACAGACGATATAATTTCTAATCGACTGTTGCCTCTCCTTGTTGTTTACTTGGCCAATACAACCAACAATATCCCCCACTTATTATTATGAGAAGCATTAGCATTACATTAGTATTCCACAAAAATAAAAAACTTATCCATATACGATCGACTTCCACATACGGATTCGGTTCACGCGATTTGCTGTTCAATAAGAAATCAATACGGAGGTGGGAGTAAAGCGGCACAGCAGAGGACAGCACAAAAAGTGCATGATAAGTAAACGTTAGGAAAGACGGTCGTATGCAAATGCAAATGATATTTGTAATGGTCGTAAACATATGGTCCCCCAAATGCAAACGTTAATAGTGTTGTTTTTACTTAGGAGAATCACAGACAAAACAGAGTAACCTTCATAAAAATATACTCAATAAAAAAATAAATCTCCATGTGTGTGTATGTGTTATTTGTTTGTATATTTTAACAGGTCGATGGTCAGAAATACATGGGCCAGGGACGCAGTAAAAAAGTAGCGCGTATCGAAGCAGCAGCCACAGCACTACGAAGCTTTATACAGTTTAAGGACGGTGCCGTCTTATCGCCATTAAAGCCATCCGGCAACTTGGACTTTACCAGCGATGAACATCTTGAAAATGGTATTGAAAATGTTGACAATGGTAAATTGGTCGATTACATACAGATGACATTGATGTTGACCGAAAAGAAACCCAACCTTACCTCGCTTGAACAATCCACGTTGCCTCTTCAAATGTTTTGCATGAGTCAGAGCAAGTATTAGTAAAATTCTTTTTTTTTGGTTTTCTTGTAACATTTTTCGTTATTTTTTCTTCATTTTTCTTTTTTTCATATTGTTTGTTTATTATTTTGTTATTGGTTGGACCTGTACACAGATCGAGAAAAATTCAAACGTATGTATACAACTTATGTATACACAGATATGACATTTGCCATTGATTTTGTTGTTTTGTATGTTATCCATTAAAAATACAGATTAGAGCAGTTGCTGAAGCGACTAATGCCTACATACAGTGGCGGGCAGTGAAATGTGGACAGTCAAAAATCGTGAAACTAACTAAATAATATAAAAGGCTAACAAAACACATTAAAAGTTTGAATCCAAACGTCCTTGCTTTCAAAAGAATCCTTAAATCAAAAAGTATTCACTTTAATAATTGTACGGAAAAGTTAATTTTTAATAGCATTTTTTTTATTACGTTTAAGTCTAAGAATATTGAAGACTATGTAATAAATTTGTTAAATATTTTTTTGAACATCCTTGGTGTTTTAGAACTAGTTTTCTGCGCGAAAGCTTTGTATCTTCTAATTTGCAGATGGATTCGATGTTTATATCGTTATGCCACACTTTTTCAAATATTTCTTTCAATTTAGATAACGTTTTGGGTCTCTGCTTTCATATTAAAACGTTCATGGGGTGCAAAAGATTCCAGATTGGATTGAAACCAGGAATTCCCACTATTGATAAATATTATTTTTTTTTTACAAAATTGGAAAAATCAAACTTTTTGAATATAATGAGGAAGATGAAAAAAATATGCCACACCCCAATCTAGCACGGCGGCAAGGAGCAGAATCGTCCCAGAAGATGACGGCGTCAGCAAGCAAAAATTTTTCCTCATTTGGCGGAATGGGGTTTTCCTTCCTTTACATATCCGTCAATTAGTGCCAGATCCCAAATTCTAAAATAAACAAAAAATCCCCAAAAAATCCTGCTGCCTTCGTTCGTTTCACTAGCTTATAAAGCGATCTCCGATCTTGCGACGATCATTCGTCCTACTTTCCCAACAAACCTCGCTTATTTTGGAAAAATTAAAAAAACATTACGTTTCTCCAATCAGCTAATAAATGTATCTCCACAACAAAAATGTTTCCCGACTGGCTTTTGAGTTTTTGAATACGCGCCATCTCGGTTAGAGAGTGTCCACATTTCACTGTCCGCTACTGTATATGAAAAAAACTATGAAAAACTATGAAAATCTGCTTCTGCCTCAATGCATTTTATGGACAGGTCTTTGCTGTACATTTTTCGGTGTACTCCATTCTACACTTTTGTATTCATTTATTTTATTCTTATTATAATATTATTTTGAGACATTAAATATATAAACGGTTATGTAACTTATACAATAGTATATTTATGCACTACGTCTATATTCTGAACAATATTCTTCCCACCAACGAAGTAACATCCGCCCGTTACATTCCCCTGCCTCCGCCTGGCGGCACCCCTGGAATAAAAAGAACTAGAGCGTGGCAGGCGTACTATGCCGGCGGGAAATTGCTTTCTCCTTTCTGGCTATATAAATGAACCGATCGCAACGTATTTCCGCACTCTGTACGATGCTGCGTTTTCGGTTTCGGTTTCTTGTATACTCAAAATTGCAGATCCCACAGTGTGCATACAAAACCTATGGTGTCTGAGAACCTGAGGCGTTCATCAAGACGGACACGGCTTTTGAAGCTTATCAAGAATATATAATTGTATATGTATACCTTGTGCGGTCGGAAACGTTTCCTTCTGAGTACCGGCTCTCAAAAACACTTCTGTTAAATATTTGAGAGAAGAGTGTATGGAGAGTGCATATATTTTCATTATTTTTTTGTTCAATTTAATCTGTGTTTGTGTTTTTCCCCGCATATGTTTTTTTTTTTTTTGTATGGTTGGAGACCACTGTAAAATCTCGTGTGAAATAAGCATAGACGGCTAAGTTAGGGTTTTTTTCTATACTAGGAACAGCCATCGAATATTTCTACTAACCGCCATTGTATATTGATAGATGTCAGTAAGAGCGCCATAACCGTTGATGGACAAAAGAAGGTGCCGGATAAAGGTCCCGTCATGCTTCTCTATGAGCTCTATAATGACGTTAATTTTGAGTGCATTAATATTGACAGTGCACAGAACAACTGTCGCTTTAAAATGACCGTAACAATTAACGAAAAGAAATTCGATGGAACGGGTATGTAGAAAAAAGAATCTAAGTCACTTAAAGCCATATGACGTACGACTTTCCCAACGTTTCTGCAAAGAGAAAGATAGCATGATAAATAAAACGCAAAGTAAGTGCTCGTAGCCGTCTCCAGACACGTCTCCCGGCTATCAGTCGAAGAACTGAGGCACGACTTGTGACAGAATGATGTTTTCCAACGCTCAGCCAGCCAGCAAAATTGGATCCTAAAAGTAAAACAATCGATAACCTGCAGCAGCGCTGCTCGCAGCTCCACTGAAGAGCCAAGCTACCGCATAGACTCGTATTTCTCTCGCTCGCACTGCATGCTTTTCCCAATAAGGCTATCTCTGTTCCTGCAGTTAGTCAGTGAGCAAAGTCGAATGTCACATGGCCGGTGACAAGTTGTCTAAACCATAGATTATCTTCCGTAGGTCCGTCGAAAAAGTTGGCAAAGAATGCCGCCGCTAAGGCAGCGCTCGCCTCGTTGTGTAACATCTCGTACAGTCCGATGGTGGTGCCGCAAAAGAACGTGCCGCTACCAATTGATGATAAGTCTTCGTCCATGGAGCTGCCGCAGATACATGCAGATGCGATTGGAAGACTGGTTTTGGAAAAGTTCATGGAGGTTATCAAGGGCCAGGAGGCGTACTCTCGTCGAAAGGTATTGGCGGGGATTGTAATGACTGAGAACATGAATTTCTTTGAAGCAAAAGTAAGTCAAAAGCTTATTCAATATAACGATATATAACTGACCAAGCACATTAAACATTAATTTATCCATTCCAAAAACAGGTAATATCCGTTTCAACGGGCACAAAATGTGTCAGCGGCGAGCATATGAGCGTTAATGGTGCCGTTCTAAACGATTCTCATGCTGAAATAGTATCTAGGCGTTGTCTGCTAAAGTTCTTGTACGCACAGCTGGATCTTCAGTGCAATCAGGGTATAATTATTGAATTGTATATATCAGTATCAGGGAATTTTGCTCATAATAATAGACCTTAAGCTTGAAAATGTTTCTCTTAGTAAGTACGTTTACGTATGTATCTTTCAAAATGTATATTCGAACCAGTCAATGAAGATAGGTAATCCTTTGCAGGCTCATTTTTGTATACGCATCAGATAAGGTTTCAAAAAGCGGATGCACGGATGCACGGCCTGAGTCCTACATTCTGTAGACCCTTCACGACTCTTAACCGGCTCTCAGATACTCTCAAGTTTTAGTTAGGAATACAATTCGTAAATTTATATAACAAAATACTTAGATTTGATATAGAATAAGTTATCCAATGAATAACTTATGTATGTAAATCTATCCCTCAAAGAATTGGAACTTTCTTTTGTTTCAACAAAGTACTTCATGCATAATATTTATGGCTGGCACTTAACAATTTATGTTCGCATTTGCATACAAATTGTTTAGCAAATTGAAAAAGCAAAAAAACATTACAAGTGATCGAAGATTTGATCTATTTCTGATTTCTTATTCTTTTCAGTTTTTGCTACACTTTTTGTTTTGTGCTTCGATGCCCAAGTCCTTAACGATACACATTTTATTCGGATAAAACAACAGCAGCAGCCGTTTCTGTTAATAAATCCTTAGAAACTCTTTTCTAATAGAAACTTTATTCAAAGAATATAAATACAGTATGATATGAACGTACAAATATTTTTGCAAAAATTAAAAAAAGGTCGATCCTTTTGTGATATTTGGTTAGTTTTAGGAGGTATCACCATATTAGAAGTTTCTTAGAGTATTAAAAGTGCAGGGTAACAACAGTTTTTTGTCATTATGTCCATATAGAATTTCATTTCATATACACTTGTGTATTGGTAAAAAATAATATGATTATTCCGATACTTTCGTGTATATCCATTAAAATAGTACGTACTCAACAATATGCTCTCCTTTTTGTATGTGCTGAAAATAGGGGACATGAATGAAACTCCCATAGGAACTTTACGAATCTAAAACCGTTTTACTTTTATTTCTATTTAATTATTCAACTCTTATTCAATTTTCTCTTAATTTTAGCCACAGCATATCAGTCGATTTTCGTGAGGAATACTGATGGGCAATACCCTTATAAACTAAAATCCGGGGTACATTTCCATTTGTATATAAATACAGCACCTTGTGGGGATGCACGGATATTTAGTCCTCACGAAAACGACACAGGTGTTGATAAACATCCAAATAGGTTGGTACAAAAGATCTTTCTAAATACTCTTGCTACTGTTATCATATCATATGCATTATGGATTATATTATGCATTATAATGCATAATAGCAAAATAAAAAGAACAACAAAAATTGACATGTTAAAAGTATACCAAACACAAATTGTAAAAAGAAAGTAGAACCAAAATAATTTATGTATGTATGTATGTTATGAATAACTTAATAATTATTTGTTGGCTAAAATTGACTGAAAAAATACAGTTAAGACGGAACGAAAACTCTTAATTTGTATATGCATATATACAGTCGAGCTTTTCTAAGTTAAGGACATCAAAATCCAAGCTGAAGTCTGAGTAAATCGGTAAAAGAAATGCAGTAAATAATAAGTATAAGTAAATATACAAATATTTAGCTTAAAATCTACTTATATAAATTGAATCTTTGTTGTAAGCAGCTGGTTTCAGTCAGAAAAATTCGACTCTATATACATATACATACTTTATACCACTATATACAATACATGTGTATGGAATCTGAACAGAAGCATGATTGTATAGACCCAATTTATGATATGTAGGTACTATTTAGGGTATTTTCTTTGTACTATTCTACTGTGTACAAACATTGGTCCGAGATCTTCCCAAAACAACGCAAAATACGCGAATTTTATATTTTTCAGCCAGAGAGGCTGAATTTAGGCAATGGAACCCTATCAAATACTGTCTGTCTGTGGTGGCATTTGTATTCAGACTTTCGATGTCTTTTTCGTAATTTTAATGTCAAATATAACTTAACTATTAGCTAAAACAGATACTTTAAAAAACCATTCCCTCTTATTTTGGTTTTTTTGTTCTGTATTTTTTTGAGATCTGTAAACAGAAATGCCCATTATGCCCAGCCATTGTACGATAAACACCCCAAAAAGAAGTCAATATCCTCAGACCATGTTTTGTTCGCAGTATAATGTTGCCATATTTTGAAATACGCTTACAAAAAATTGTATTTTATTTATATTTTTCGTGTCAATTTTTACATTTTACTATGCTGCCATTTGTTCACCTGTGTTTCTGTGGCTTTAATCATTGCAACGTAACGTCTTTGATATCATCCTTGAAACAAAAAAAAACAAAATAAACAAAATCAGAAAAGCTCGTGGGCAATTGCGTACGAAAATCGAGTCCGGCGAAGGTACAATACCCGTTAAAAGTAGCGATGGCATACAAACCTGGGATGGTGTACTACAGGTAGGCGCAAATATTATATTGTATTGTGTGAACTCGAAATAACTTCAATTGTCATGTAATATACAGGGTCAACGATTGCTTACAATGTCATGCTCGGATAAAATTGCACGTTGGAACATTGTGGGTATACAGGGTTCCTTATTGTCTTCCATAATTGAACCAGTGTACCTGCATTCCATTGTATTGGGGAGTCTGCTGCACCCAGAGCATATGTATCGTGCGGTGTGCGGACGAATAGAAAAGTCTATCCAAGGCTTGCCGCCGCCATACCATTTGAATAAGCCTCGACTGGCATTGGTCACATCGGCTGAGCCGCGTAATCAGGCCAAGGCTCCAAATTTTGGCATCAATTGGACCATCGGAGATGTTGAATTGGAAGTCGTCAACTCACTGACTGGCCGAACAATTGGTGGTCAAGTATCGCGCATCACCAAACAAGCGTTTTTTGATAAATATGGATTTTTAATGAAAAACTTACCAGGTATTTTGAAACGCAGTGTAACCACAGACTACGGCCAAACAAAAGCCAACGTCAAGGACTATCAGGTATGCATCGATTACACCGCATATGATTGGAAATATGTACAATATCTTTTTATTTGCAGATTGCTAAAATAGAATTGTTTAGCGCCTTCAAGCGGGAGGATCTTGGAAGCTGGCTAAAGAAGCCGATAGAACAAGACGAGTTTGTTCTGAATGAATGACTGCATTCATCGATGCATATGTTAAAAAAAGACAAAAGTAACGGCAAGCAATTAATAGAATTAGAAAAAATAGCTTTAAATACAAGTTGTAATAAGAATACAAGCTTGGTGCAAAAACAGCGAAACGAATTTCATCTTAATGAAAATGAAAATGAGAATGAGATTGAGAACCTGACAACAATGTGTCCCGAAATAAGAAACGGCAAGCACGAAGATGCTAATGCTCGAAATATGATAATGGATAACGACGGCTCTAGAATATTTATAGAATAGAATGTAGTCTTTATGCTGGGACTGAGTAAAGGAGTATTATGGCGTTTTTTTTAAATCAATTCCTTTTATAATCAATACACACACACACACTTCTTTCTTACCTATGCATTCTATGCAACCCTCACTCACATAGACCGAAAAAGCGACTCAGCTAATACACACTGTTGAAATATGAAAATATGAAAGTATGAAAACAAACAAAGAAACAACGCGAAAATAACAATAAACTATACATGGATCTAGAAATGAATCTGTTTATGATTAAATATAAATGAGTAATGTATGTTGTAAAGTAATGTTACAACGACATAAACGAATAAAATTAATGAAATTAATTACTAATAAAACCTTCAGTAGCCTTTAGGGAGAAACAGAAGCATCATTTCCACGTATCTTCAGATCGATCATCCACTAACTAGGCTTTCATTATTTTTGGCAAATGGAACAGAACTATATTTTGGGTTACAAATAGAATTTCAACGACAAACAAACAACTTATCCCAGTTTATCCAAAGATTATGTAGATTTTTTTATAGTTACACAATTAGTTGAAATACTTATCTTATGAATATGAATTAAGAAACTAATGAATAGATTGGTTAACAGTTTTACAAAATATATTAAAAAGACACGTCTTACTGTGCTAATGTATTCTAAGCATGAAGCTTTTAATCTCATTTGTTTCCACCAAAGGGACATTATTTACCCAATGTAAGTATTGCTAAGAGAAATGCAATGCAAATGCTTACCACAACTTGTGATTTTTTTTGAGCCTCACTGCTTCCGAAAAATCTTCCAGTACATGTAGACTCACACTCATGCGTCTCTAGAAATTCAATATTACAATTTGTAAGCTGTATATTTCTACTTCCAATCTTCCAATCAGTAGTTGCTGATGATATTTCTCAGAGGGTTTCGTTTACGGGCCCCGAAAACTACATATTACTGAGATACTTATTGCTGAACAAATTCGTAAACACACAGTTTGAAAATTTGCAGTCTGACGACATTGCTATTTGCATGTGCATAACCATACCATATATAGCCACACCGTTTATACATATAGTATGAGTACATTGTGAAAATGTACTTCAGGAATTTCAATAGGCGCAATTGACATTCAATAACGTAATTTACACGTATTTTTAAACTACAAATAGCTTGAAATAATCTTAAATTAAAAGGTAACTGGCCGTGCCCAAGTAGATATCCTCCAGTAGGCGTGAACAAAAAATTATAACTTAACAAATACAAATACCTACACTATACACAAAAGAGAAGAATATCACATGATGATTAGAGCAGGACACAACACTCAATACAACAGTAACACAGTAAAACACTCTGCTTTCCTCCTCGATTTTTCAACCACAACCCAATTTTCAAAGAACTCTCTTGCATGTGTGAATAGTATGAATTAGTATGAGTAATTAAAGAAAATGTGTATATGAATATACAATATATTAATTTTGCGTTTCCTTGACTTGCCTTATATTATGTGAGTATTTCCATGTTACCACAGTACATACATATATACATTTTTGTTCTTTACGTACCTTTAGAGTGATTCGATTCATGTATAATCTGGGAGTATTTTCCGATAGGTTTACATAGTTTGTTTTATAGCTTTTTGGTAACCGCGATGGCAAAACGCTCCGTTCGATTTTCTGCATTACTTGTTTATCTACACATATATATAGTATATATATATATATATATAAATATATATATATACCTATGTGGCGACATACATACATATATACTAAATAAGTAATATTTGCATAAAATACAGCATATAATGGATAAACCTTATAAAACCAAAGTTGATCTTATATAAAATACTGTGATACTAAATTTTACTAGTACTTCCAGCATAGCTGCATTTTATCCATTCTTAAATATTCTATGTTATTAAAAAACAGCAACAGCTAATATAATCAGGAAAATTATATAGACGAAAAACAAAAACATTTTTTTAAATAATATACTAAATATATAAACAATTTAACAATGCTTGTCTACATTAGATTTTCAAATAAGAAATTTTACAAAATACTTATTAATAGTAAAGATTAAAGAGTAGGTATAACTCGGGTTTCTAAAATATCATTTCGAAATTCATTTGAAATTGCAATCCAAGTCCGAAGACAGGTACCACACCACGGAGCTAAACAATAAATACCATAGATAAATTTCACTCTTGCTGTAGATGGAAATAAGACCAAAACAAATTCTGTTCAAAACTTGATTCTTTGACTAGAATATTGATGTATTCGAAAATAAATACAGAAGCTCAAGTGGTTATGTTAGCTAAAAGACAGATCTTTTTAAGGAAATAAGCTTATTATTGTTCAATATTTAATAGATATATATTTTCTCATCAACTAATAGTTGAGCCTTTTCTATTTGGTTAAATATAATCGTGTATGAAGTGAAGTGATTCCCCAAGTGAAACATTATAATTGAAATTTTTTGTGATCGCGAAGAGACATATTTCCTTCCGACCATAGTATTTAAAATGTTTGCTTGATTAGAGCAGAGAGCCGACGGAATATATATACATATAATTTTACTGTTCGTATGTTCTGAAACAATTTAATCAATAAGCCGGTTTTTTTTTTCTTCTATGAAATTCGTTCTTATTTACTGCGCTTGTGCGCTACAATTAGTCGAAGCAGATTGATCGATAGATATATAGTTCTTATCAGAAACACCCGTCACTGCTAGAATACTTACCGTTAAATTAAACACCCATAGATTTTGAACACTTCTATTTGATGAAATAACAGCACTATAACATATATAGTACATAGCATCTAAAAAAAGAAAAAACGAAAAGAAAAGTTGCTCAAAAGAATATCGAACGCTTTCAGATCTCATTACTATCATTTACTTTAGACATTGAGTGATGCACAGCTGAGATATACATATAGATAAATGCCAAGGGATAAAAAAACGTCACTGCTGTCTCTTCCCGATTAAATCAAGTACGATCGTGAAAATGTGAATCTAAAACTGTTTAGTGTTTGAAGAAAACTAAAACCGATTTGGAAATTCTTTCTGCGAATGTATGAATATTTCAAGCGTATTATTATTTTATTTTAAAATGCATCAACTAAACATAAAAAGTCAAACCAAAACATATATTATGTATATGATTTTAAATTAGTATGTTGAAAGACTATAATCAATAAGAAATCTAAGACAAACTGCGAAACTTAGTGCCGATATGGGAAAGGGAAACCATGGTAAAATATACATAGATGATCAGTAATAATTTCTCATTTTCTCCCCCGAAAACATGTTATCTAAATGCAGTTGTATTCGTACATATAATACCAACATATTATCAACTTCTTATTCTGAAAAAAACAAAACAAAAACAAAAAACGATTTGGTATAAGCTACAATCAAACACCAAGCTCATTTCATACAGGCATGTAAACATACAGACATAATATAAACAGATATATCTGCACTTCAATGTGTCTGTATACTCGTTCATACACTCATACCTGGCTTAATTGCAATTTGTAGTTGTTTAATATTCTAGTCATATCAAAAACACTTCCTATAAAACATGAAATCTCTTATTGAAGCTTTAGTTTAGTTTTATTTACCTTTACTTCGGCTATTATAATGTTTGTATCGCATAAACTTGAAAAGTAGATAATTTTACTGCGGGCATTATAAGTCGGAGCCTCGAAAATCGGATATTGAACATTGGATGAACCAGTCATAGCGACGATCGATCTTAAAGGGCATGAGTCAGCTTCCTTCCTTTTTTTCCTTATATTGTAGCGGCTAGATATATGTCATTTTTTATCCTAGATTAATACCAACATAAATTACTTTTATTGATTCATTTGAAGTCTTCAACTCTAGTTTTTGTTGAACTAATTGTTCAAGCCTTAAGCGATGTATGAGCGTATAGACATATTTGTATACATATACAATCACTATTTTTACGTTTAAACATTAAAAGCTTACATACCCACAAATATACTACATACCTAAACATATATACATATATCTATGAATGCAAACATATACGTAAAGTTATGTTGTTTGTCGACATTAGTCTATGTACCCGAAAAAACTATAAGAAACAAACAACTGGAATAACAGTGAACAAAACAACAATATTGTTAAGAATTGCAAACAACACAAGCAAAACACTTTAAACACCTTAAAAACATCAAAGATTATTGAAACAAAAAATCACTCTCAAACAATTAGAATGAATTTTATGATTGCCTTTGTTCAATAGAAAGATTTGTATTAGGCGATTCTATAATCGACTGTCTGCCAATAAAATTAACCATGATACATTAAGCCGAAATTAAACTTTATAAGCTTATGAATACTTGGAAAACAAATCGTTCGGTCTCCAACTATTGTAAATGACAATTAAATAAACTACCAATATGATATAACAACAATAACAACACTGTGTACCAATTTTGTTTTAAAAATTCCTCTACTACTTTTATGTGCCAGAAGATATAATTTCCATCGCCATATCTATATTATATGTAAATATCTAGGTTTATGAAGCTGTAAATGTCATTAGGTGTAGTTTTAGCGTTCGTGCAAGGATGAAAATACCCGTATGGATGGTACGGATACCACAAGAAAAGGTATTGGCTCTACAAAGGATATAAAAAATGGGACTATTTTATATTGTGGGTAAGCGTCTTCGAAAAGTGTCATAATCTCTAATGAATTCTAAAGTTAAGGGTGTACACTTTGACAGCGCCGTCGTAAAAAGGGAATCGTGTGCACACATACAGTTAAATTTCAGCCTCATGCTTAGAACGAGGGAGTGGCTGCTTTTGAGCGCTCT